ATTCTAAGTTCCCATTTAGAGATGGGCCACTGGCTCCTGCAAGACTACCAGAAGGCCATGCTGGAATGCTGTCAGTTTTCCACAAAGATGCTTCCATTTTCTAGGAGCATAAGCTTGGGAGGCCCAAATAACCTAGGTAACACACACACTAGCTAGCAAGAACCCAGAATATGCTGATCTAACATTTGCTACCATGAACAGCTTTAGTAATGTGAATACCTTTAGCATCCCATAGCCAAAGGGGGGCCATAAGTTGAAAGATGGTACCCTACAGAGACACTGGTTGGTCAACTGATCCTAATGAAGCAACCTCACTTTTGTGGGCCTGGTTTCCTCACTCACAAAAGAATGCAGAGTCTCTCCAAAGCCCTTTCCAACTCTACCATCCTGTAATTCTGTTAAATTCTGTTAATTTTGTTAAATTCTAAGTGCATCCAGAATGTATACATTCAGCAACATTTACTGACCATCTACTCTATGGAAAGCCTAGTGGAGGACACTGTGGGAGATACACAGACATAGGAGATAGTTCCTGACCCTGAAAAAAATCCCCTCTAGCTCTGGGGGACAAGGAAAAAGTATAATCATCACAGAATTCAGAAATATAAGAAATGCCATGTGATTATTTGTTATAATTAAAAGAGTTTGAAAAAGGAGTAGAATTTGAATGGGCTAGAAGAAGTGGGATGATTACTAAGCAGTGTTACAAAGCTTTTTTCGGTTCATCCAACTCAGTGATTGACTCCTCTGCCAATAAGTACACATCATAAGCATTAATGGGGACCAGTACAACAGAAACTGGTCTGATGGCACCTTATTATGATTTCCTCCATATATGAGAGCATCAACACTGATCATAGCAGCCAACTGCTTCTAGTTCTGGGGTCAAGAATCATATAGTCATTCTTGCCATAAAAAAATTCTGGGGACCCTGGCTATATTAGATGTCAGGTTACAAAGTTCAAAGAGAAAGCCAGGCAGCTAATTCTGGAAGACTGTGCTTGGTACTTTCCCTAGGATTACACTTCTTTTTTTTTTTTTAAATACCAGGGATTGAACCCAGGGGCACTTAACCTCTGAGCTATATCTCCAGTCCTTGTTTATTTCTTTCTTTTTTTTTTTTTTTTGAGACTGATCTTGCTAAGTTGCTTAGGGCCTCACTAAGTTGCTGAGCTGGCCTTGAACTTGTGATCCTCCTACCTCAGCCTCCGGAGTCTAGGATTACAGGCATGCACCACCATGCCTGGCCCAAGGATCATACTTTATCAGAAAGTAAAGTATGACCAAATACTACAATAATTTTTCAGTAGCTGAACAGCTCACAAGTTGTTGGTATCATTCCACTACAGTGTCCTGATACTCTAGGCCAAATTAATGGCTATGTGTTCACCACACAAGTTAGACAAGGTTTGAAGAGAAAGAACTAAAAATGGTTCCTGTGCTTAAAGCTGAAACTGGAATACACACTCACAATTCCTCAATACCTCACCCCTTGAGAATTAATTAGCAAATCCATCTTCTTCAAGCATTGTACAATTTTCACTCTGCTTTTAAATTTAAATACATTTACCAGGAATACAACTACATTTAAATACAGCTACCTACTGGTAATCTACACTCTACTTTGTGTGTATTTGAATCTTCTAATCTCCAAGTTATACACAATTTCAGGTTCTCAGAGTTGCAAGAGGGTTAGTGATTATGCAGCCCAATTTCCCTGAGGAATGGCCATCTAGTTTCTTCAGAAATACTTCTAACAATACAGAGCTCACTGGCTCCCAGGTGACCAGCCTTTTTTTCTTGTTTTGTTTTGTTTTATGTATTCAACCTTCTGTCTTTCCATTGAATATTACAGCTCTCTCCTTTGAAAAGTCAACATTCATACAAGCAAAACCTAAAAATACAGGGCTGGGGTTGTAGCTCAATGGTAGAGCACTTGCTCCCACATGTGAGGCACTGGGTTCAATCCTCAGCACCACATAAAAATAAATAAATTAAAGTATGTGTCCATTTACAACTAAATTTTTTTAAACTAAAACTTAGAGGCTATTTACTGGAACTACTAACCAATACTGTACTTTTTTCATTGAAGGGCACCTAGGTGCATAACCAGACTTCTCAAGCCATCTGGCTGATCCAGAGTTGTACCTCAGGCAGCCATAAATCAACTCACACTTTTTCCTAAGCACCTGCTATAAGCAGGACCATGTAACTAAAATGCACATTCAGATATGTTTCAAGACTTGGACTATCTTCCCACAAGGCAAGAATGCAGCAGCTAGAGGATATGGAGTCTATGCTCCTGGACAATTTAAGAATGAAAACAGACAGCCATTCATCTATTCAAATGCCCTCACCTGCCTGAAAGCAGGAGACTAATTCAGCTGATTTTCTGGGATCTCACTGAGTTCTAATACTGACAATGAAATCCATATTCTATCCCCAAAACCCTACCTTCTACTAAGTGGTTAATAGTAAATTATAAACTCAAAGGAAAAGGTCAACCAGAAAGAGACACTTCATTTCTCAGAAGCATGCTAGTGTGCCTGTACAGCCTGTCACTGTACACTGTCACTAAAACATCTGTTTGTCAGGATACAACACACACACACACACACACACACACACACACACACACACACACACAGATTCTACATTCTCAGTTAAAAGAATTTATCATCAGGATCCTCTCAAATTTGGTCATATTTATACTTCCCCATTCCCCTTCTCAGCTAACATATTAACTTCCTTCTCTCCTCCCTCACCCAGCCCTACCTTCAAAATATTTACTCTTTCATGTAGACAGCTGGAACTCAGGACAGTCTTACAAAAAACCACACCCTTCACATGTATAGGAAAAACACAAGAAATAACTTGCAAGCAGTCAGGTGCAGTGGTGCATGTCTATAACCCCAGCAACTCAAGTAGCTGACAGGAGGATCATAAGTTCAAAACCATCCTCAGCAACTTAGTGAGACCCTGACTGAAAATAAAAAATAAAAAGGGCTGGGGATCTAATTCAGTGGTAAAGTACTTTTTAAAAAAAATTAAAGTTGCAGGTAGACAGCATGCCTTTATTTTTGTTTATTTTTATTTTTTTGTGATGCTAAGGATCAAACCCAGTGACTCTCACATACTAGGCAAGCACTCTGTCACTGAGCAACAGCCCCAGCCCCAGTGGTAAAGCACTTTTGAGTTCAATCCCCAGTACCCAAAAAAATGAAAGAAATAATTTGCAGATGAAAGTTGTTTTGGAAGAAAATTCAACCAGCCTCTGTCAAACAGTAACTTGGCTAATTATAAGCTTCATCCCACAGCAGTTTTCTTCAGAGGCCTGCAGGGGCCTAAGTGGAAGAGATGCAAGTCAGAGTCTCTCACTGGCTCCAAGATACAAAATGGGCCAAAGAGCAATGGCTTCAAATTCCAAGTTCCCCTGGCCAGTCAAACCAGAGCTTTCCTAAACCTAGGGCTACCAATTCATTCAGAGCCTGGAAGCAGGTCTCATCAATTTCATGAATGATTTCACTCATAAAAATGTAGCTACAAAGGTAGGGGGGACAAAAAGAGAGAGAATGACCACAGAGTTCAGTTTTGCCCTTCCAACAAGAAGCAAGGCAGGAATAAGCAAAAGAAACTTGAGAGAATGACGAGAAGAATGAAAACAAATTGTTTCGTGTCATGCATATGCCTGCCCAGCTGCACATGCTCACTTATACCATACACAAGCACATGGTGCATGCACACGGGCACACACACTCAGCCATGAAACTCAGACTGGAAAGCAGCTAAAAGCCCTCAGCAACCTGCCTGATTTCACCAAATACTCCACAAAGTCGGCAGCAATACCAGCAGCAGCAACAGCAGAAGGACCTTTAACAAAGAACTCCTGTGACCTTACTTTGCTAGCCCTGTGTAAACTGGGGCCTCTCTCCCTCCTGCTACTACTCAAGCCAGATATAATCATTAAAAAGTCTGGAAAAACAGTCCCCAAATACTCTGCATGCACTGGGAAAGCCTATAGCCCATAGAGAGGGACAAAATGAGCCCCAAGGGACCAGAACTCATTTTAATTACCCACAAAGCCTGGCCAAGGAGCCCCCTTCCTATATACCCTGACCACACCCCAACATGGGAGCTCCATTTCCAGGTCACCCATGTACAATGAACCACAGCAGGCTTCCATCAGGTATGGCTCTCAGCCTATACATACACCTCCAGTTCCTCAAGGCCTTCCTTACAGTAATCCCAAAACAATTAACACTGCTCTCATCCCTAGAGTGTAGAGCATTCTCAGCACACCCACTAGTCATGCCACAGTGCCCTAGAATCCAACTGGCCACCTCCCTAGAGAAGTGACCTACACAGACTTCAAACAGTAGCTCTAGTACTAGCTATTACAACACAGAAAAAAAAAATAACTCCAAGGCTGGTGTCAGGCATACAAAGAATAGAGAGTGCACATTGAGTGATTTTGAGGGAAAGAAAGAGTAACTCACTTTTAAGAAGCACCTATGTGCCATGCCCTCTGCTTGTTTGTGGTACTACTGAGCCTGAAACCAATATGCAGTGAATTGGAGATACCAATTCCATTGGCTTTTCAATTTACCAGCTATCTGAGAGCTAGAGACTAGGAAATAGGACTAGAATAACAGATTAAGTATTGTTGGGTGGTATTATAATAACAAGAGTACCCCTAGACTTGGGAAGGGTGGAAAGGAGGCCGTTTGTCCCTAATCTCTTGCCACTGAAAGGGGGAGGAATCTCCCTTATTCCCAAATTTGTCAGGGGTAGCCCCAAATCAGTGCTATAAAATTGGTATCAAAGGTCTTAGTCTTTGTAGGAAGCACATACTCTGCTATAACCACAAAGCAATGAATTCAGTTAGTATCAACTACAGACATTGTTTAAGTCATCCGAGAACTAGCAGCAAACTCCCCAGAAAGAAGGCTCTTCCCCCTGGATCAAAGCAATCATAATTAGGCAACTCAATGGAAACTTACTCGAAGGCAAAGAAGAGTGTGCAGGTCCCCAGGATGAGGAAGAGAGTCAAATAGAAGATCCCCTTTTGCCGGGCCATCATGACACGGCCATCACAGCAAAAGGTGTTCCTGCCAGGGAGTTTCTCCCATTTCCGTGTCACCTTCTTTCTCACCACCATCACAGACATGATTGGAATTCCAGGTCCAAAGTGGGCTTTGTGATTACACGAGAGAAGAAACAGAGGCTGAGACCAGCTTCAAAATCACGTTGCCTGCTATTGATGCTGCTGGGTCAAACATCATCAAAAGTCCAATTTCTAGCCCTAAGGAAAAGCACAAAAAGGAAAAAAATGAGGTAAGAATAAGAAAATGCAGATCAACTTTCCTGTCCCAGAGGCAGAAAAGATCACTGCCCAAAGGAATGGGAATGGGGAAATGGGGGAAGTTAATTTCCAGTCTGTTTGTCCTCTAAAAGGAGAAACAACTAAAAGTTCTCCAAAAAAGAAGTGGGCCACCATTTCTTAAACTGTATGCTTCCAAACTAATATTGATGAATTGACAATCACAGAACTTTGGAACAAAATGGATTTTATAGGTGATAATCCTCATTATTTGTAAATGAGTAAACTGAAGACCATAAAGAGGGAACAACTTATCCAGGATCACAGAAGCAAAGCTCAAAAAAGAAAAAAGGCGATGACTTCCAGTCCAGGACACTTTCTACCATACCACAGTGTTCTTTAATATTCATTAAGAGGACTCTAAAAATGATAGTAGAGTTTCTGTCCTTAAGGAGCTGTTCCCTTCCCTCCTCCACTTCTTCACCTTCTTCAGTTAGCCACTCAAATATGAATCACACCAGGGAATAACTCGCCCTCTGGCAGGGGTAGGAGGTTCTGGACACTCTGTACACATACAACATATTGTATTTACACAAAACAGATTTCCCCTCATCAAACCCTCTACAACTTCCTGAGTCCGGGAAATGAAATAATCTTGCTGGTCTAGCCTAACATTTGTGGGAATCTTAATGAAACCACATTACAGACCTATAGGTGAAAGCCTGACTTAAGCAGAAGAGATTCTAGAATGGTTGGCAACTGAGATGGGTGGTTGTGGGGGCAGGCAGCTGAGACAAGTCATAAGGACACTTTCTGGGACATTTCTTAAGTACAATCTCTGCTCAGCATCCTGAATTCCCAGGCCTACCCTTGCTCAGCCACTGCCATCCTCCCCCTCTCAGGTGTGGGGCTGTGGCCTCTATTTACTGACACAACATGCAAGAATGAGGTGGAAGCCTGCAGTCTGACTGACTGAAAGAAACAACCAACTCCAGATCATTCCCGGACAGGAGAGGGCAAAGGTCCAAGAGGGACCAGGAGCTGAGCCAGGAAATGAGAAGGTGAAGGCTTGAGAAAGGGGAGGGGGCACCAGAGGTGCACAGAACACTTCCTTTGTGTAAAACTAACCTGGAAAACAATCTCCTCCTGATAAACTGGCCCAGCAGGAGGAGAGAGACCAGGAAGGGGAACCCGGCCTGGGAGAACAAAGATCAAAATCCGTCGGGAAGCAGCGACCAACCCACTAGCCGAGCGTCTGAGGCCCGAGTCCTGGGCCGGGCCGCGGGCGCGGCCTCGAGAGGCCCGCCCTGCCTCTGCCACGCAGCGGACCACCGCCCCAGGCAGGTTGGGACGCGCGCCACATCCACACGCACACGCGTCCACACACTCGTACACACTCACACACGCCCCGCCACGTGTAGTCACCAGGGCTAGGGGCTTGGTGGCTGTCGAGTTGAGAAGGGCGGTGCCAATGTCCCCGCTCCTGGGTGCATCTGAAAGGGAGGCAGCCCACCACGCAAGCCGAGTCCAAGAGACCCCCACCCCCACCCCTTGTTACCTGAACGAGAGAGACCGAACTCGGCCAGCTACTGAGGGCAGGAAGTGCACTGTCCCAAGGGACCTCGTCGGCCGCCAAAGGTGGCAGTGAGTTTTTCTCCCCGGACTGGAGGCTGCCTTCTCCTGACAAGGGGCCCCAATAGTCGGGGCCCTAAACCAGCTGTGGCAACCGCCCACCGCTGGCCGAATGGAACGCTCCTCACGTCACCAGGTCGCTCCAGTAGTTGCTCGCTCTCCATTGGCTAAACAGCCTCAGCGCCTCCGCCCCTGGCGCCCCTTCTCAGAACTGCCATTGGCTACTCCTGACGCCACTCGACAGTGTCTCCGCCCACTCCCCCACCCATCTCCCTGCTACTTGCCCACCTGCCAAGTCGCTGCCTGCTTCTTTGGGGTCCGAGCGCCAGTACGTGAAGTGTTGACTTCTATTAATATAGTTACGCAAAGACGTAGGGGAAGGGTAGTGCTGATGGGACAGAGAGGCGGGTACCAATCTCCCCCTACTTATACGCATGGTGAGATACTGAAGCCAACACTAGCTCACAGATCCGGATGCTCACCCCGAACTAGGTCCGCCCTGGGCCTCTCCAGTCCTATTCACATTAAAATCAACCATAACTCCGGGTTTTACTCTTCCTCAGCATAAAGATGAGTCTTCTTCCTCCCAAGTCCCATTCAGTAGTCAGTGACCCCACCTCTGTCTCAGGCACCGTGGCCTGCATTTCTAAGGCTTTCAGAACAAAACAAATAAATATAAAAATGAAGTTGAAAGGGATAACTGTCCTCAAGACCACAGAATCATTTTGAAAATACCAAAAAACAATTCACTGACATTAAGGGACTTAAGAGAAATTCCACTAAGATGACAAATTCTTCCAGGTGAATAATGAAGGTTGCCAAAAATGTAGTAAATTTCTATTAGACTTGAAGAACTTATGATAATTAAGGTGGAATCCAAGGCAGAATTTCTACCCAACCAACCAGATTGATCCTTTCCTTCTGCCACCCCCATCTGCAGTTACTGCCACCATGAGTGACTGCTACCAATCCTAGTGAGTCACATCCTTTAGAAGTTTGAGATTGGAGTGGGGAAAAGAGTTAAGAACCACAATATTTATAGTGTAGACTTTACAAAACATCAGGTCTCTTTCCACAAGGATGGTTCTTGCCTTCCAAATGTAAGAGGCAATATAAGAGCCAGGGTGGCCTCTCCTTATCTGCCACACTGTTGAGAGTGCCTATATCACCAGCCTAGGTTTTCCTGAGCTTTACAAAAGTTTCTATAGAGTGATAGTACTTGGAATTAGTACAGAAAATACTGCCAAATCTCTTGTTCCCATTGAAGTTGTTTTTTTTTTGTTGATTTTAATGAAAGACCACATACATGGTCAAGAACTATTTCTCCTTTACAGTATTTGGATCCCATACAGTATGAAGCAAAAAGCTACATGACAATAATTATATTTGACACTTTTGTGACACCTTTCAATAAAAAAATTTAAAGGATCAAAAAATCACTAGGTAATTCTCTTATGAGAGATGTGCTATAATTAATTTATAGAGGAAATTATTTCGTTATAAAGCTTCTATTGTTCCTGAGTACTCATGCTGATTATAATCATTGGTTTATCCTTATGAAGCATATGATCAGTATTATTGCTTCCCATTCCACCCCTTTGAATTCTGGAGGGTTCTGGGATTGTACACACTTGGTATGGGAGAGAGAGGAACTTCCCTCAGCCCCATCAGCTCTCTGGATTCCCAAGCCTCTGTATATCAGATGCCCTTAGAAATAACATGGTCATCCCAGCTGCCATCCTTCTGACTGTGGAACAGTTAAAACTAAGCCTCTGCAGCTACCCAAACATACTTTGCCCATAGCTCAGGTGCAAGCAAAGCCTGGGAAGTCTTGGAATCTATGTGTCACAGCAACGCATTCCTGAGCTCTGCCCCTCCCTGCTCTAGGTCACATTCCCTCTGGGATTAAATGGCTATGTAAATCAGGCTTGGTTTATTACAATATTTTTAATCATGCACACGACTAAAAGAAAATTAAGGAAATTTTATGTGGAAAACATTCCATAGCACTTCCTTCTATATAATTACATCATTTTATGTAATCCTTAAAGTCTTAATAGATATACATAACTAAATTGCGTCTATAAACTGAGATTTTTATTTCTTTTTTTCGTTTCTTTTCTCTTTTCAACAAACTTCCCATTATATACATCCAAATCAGTGTTGGTTCTTTTGAAGGGGAGTTATAATCATACAATGAGCACTAGAAACACCTCTAAAATCAAGGTATAACCCTCCATTTTATAAGATTGTTCATGGTATGGCGGTATATATTCTGGAGTGCTTGTTTAAAAATCTGGCTCCATATTTATGGTTCATTTGTGTGTGTGTGTGTGTGTGTGTGTGTGTGTGTGTGTGTGTGTATAAAATGCTGTTGAAGGCCTCAGATCCTGAGTGCCACTAATGGGCTGAAGCTTGCCTGTAAGTGTTGCTCCAGAGACCATTCAGTGCTACAGCCCTGGAGAGACACACAAAATCATTCTCCACCCTGATTTTTGAGTTCTTGATGGCGACTTTTCCTCTATTTTCTTTAGCTCCAAATTTCCTATGTCTCCTTGCCTTCATCTCCACACACGTGCCCCTTCCCATCCCACCTACCTGCATTATACTCTTCTTCCTACTTTCTAACTAGACAAAAAGTATGTTTGTAGAATGAATTGATGAGCAAAAGAGAGACCCACAGTATGCCCTGCCCATATATGACCAGCCCAGTATTCTTAAGCGACATCTCTTTCTGTGAGACCTGAGCTATTATTGATGGCATAGAATAGGCAGGATGGTATGTAGCATAGGAAGAACACAAGTCTTATGGCCATACAGACCTAGCTTCAAATCCTAGATTAAGTTGCAACTTAATACCTTGTGTAACCTTCAGCAAACAATTTATCCATTCTGAGCCTATTTCTCCATCTGTCAAACAAAGCTAATACAGATGGCCCTTTGTATCAATCAACTGCAGATCAAAAATATTTTGAAGAAAATTACACCTATACTAGACATGTACAGACTTTCTTTTCTTATCATTATTCCTTAAATGATGCATCATAGCACCTATTTACACAGCATTTGCATTGTATTTGGTATTATACATAATCTGGAGATTATTTAAAGTATATGGGAAGATGTATGTAGGTTATATAAAAATACTACATCATTTTATATGAGAGACTTGAGCATTGGTGGATTTTTTAATTCATAGGGGTCCTGGAACCAACCCCATGCAGATACCAAGAGACAATTGTACCTACCACATAGAGTTAGAGTTATAAAGGGGATAAATGTCTGGCATGTAGGAGAAACACAATCAATGAATATTATAATGGCATCTATGCAATGGCCATCTCTCATTTCCCTCCTTTAGCCACACTGCCAAATGGAGATAAAGAAGTAAGAAGAATGAGACCCATTACTTATTTCATAGAACCTGTACTGTCCATATTCCACCATGTTTTCAAAGCCTTTAAATTCATCGCTGAATTTAGAGGGCAGAGTCAGACGAGAGATGTGCCAAGAAAGTATCAAATGTTCTGACTGACTGCTTGGTTTCCCAGTCCCTCACCTCACCCTGTGATTGGAAAAAGCTTGGGCAGTTAAACTACTTCTAGGCAATGGCTGTTCTTTAGCACCATCTTCTCAAGTGAACCCTCCACACTGCTGCCACACTATCTGTATCAACAGGTGAGAGATAAATAGAACAGCTCTCATTAAGCACTTCCTGTGTTCATAGCACCATTCTGGGATTGTTGGCTCTTCTCTGAGGCTAAGTAGTATCTTTAAGATGCCAGGACATGAAAGCCAAATGTAGAAAAAAAGCCAATAAAAACTATCTGGGGTGGCAGGGAACGTGTCCATCACAATCCAACTGAGACTCTGTTTCAGGTGTCAGAAACCAAGCCCCTGTTTCTCTCTCTCTGACTCCTGGTTTCTCCTGCTTGTGCCCAATTTGGATTTATCTGTGGATTTCTAACTCCACTCAGAAGAGTTTTAGGTGTTATGCTTAAACCCTCAATACTAGCCCTAAGACAATCCTCCCACTAAACAAAAATCATAACAGCAATAGAGGCCATTTATTCAGGACCTTCTCTGAACCAGGGATTGTGCTAAGTGCTTCGTTGGTACAGATAAGGTTCCCAGATTATGGTGTAAACATGATGGCCAAGTGAGAGCATTTGATACTTTCTTGGCACATCCCTCGTCTGACTCTGCCTAGCCCTCTCATTCCAGAAGCTGACCTCAAAACATTGTGTAGTCCAAAAATATAAACCGGTTTATCAGTCAATCATCAAGTACGTATTGAGCACCCACAGTTGCCCAGCCTGTACTAGGCACTATGGGAAATACCAAAGGAGTATATGACATGATCCTAGCCTCCGAGGAAATTAAAATACTCTAAGGGAAAAAAGAACATGTGCTATCAATAAAGATAAATACAAAACAGTTCAGAGTAAAATTCTTAACTATGCATAGCAGAGTCTCTATCTTCTTAAGGAGAGCTTGCCTCAAAAGATTGTACCTTTTTGGGCTGGGAGTGTAGTTCAGTGATAGAGCACTTACCTTGCATGTGCAAGGCCTTGGGTTCAGTCTCCAGAACTGCATTTTTTTTAAAGTGGTTGCACTCTCTTTTTATTAATTTACTCTTCTCTGTTGGTAGAAGAGTAAATTAATAAAAAAAATTTCAGTAAGGCTATTT